ACCACCTCACCGTGGTGCCAGGGTCCAGTACTCTCGATTATACCGAGGGGAAGCTAAGAGTCGGTCCTTCCTGAGTGCTACTACGTGTTGGAAGGTCTAGTACCCTGTCCAAGGGGAACCGTTTCGCATCATTATCTCGTTCCTGTATTGGGAGTGGGGATGCGGGTAGGTCAAAATGCACAGATGCTTCGATGGAGTTAGGGCATCGAACGGAGACCCTCCATCAGACAACGTGCTCTCCGCCGTTGGCCTGCGCCCGCAGGTTTTCATCTCCGATCAGCCGCGCAAGCGGCACAAGGGGGTTTTAGTGGGTATGGGTGTACTCTCCAACATCGAGTCCCACATCACCACGGTGTCAGACATTGTGGTATGCGTAAGTGCATTTCCTCCTCGTTCTGTGGGCGCTCGACCAACGTCGGTTGTCGTAAAACGCACACTGAAATAAAAAAAAAAAAAGTGCCCGGACCCACGATGTTGGGCCGATATCTACTGCTGATTCGGACCACGCCCCCTTCAGCTCGCTGCTGTACACAAGAGATGAGTTGTTTGCCCTCTACTCGAAGGTGGGTAAGAGTGGAAGGTCAGACAGCCTTGTCTTTGCGCGCCTCCCGCAGCAGCTGCAGCGCATCAAGTCAGTGCTGCAAACTTGGAAGGACGTGGACGCCAGAGTTGCAAAGCTTTGCGGCCCCGCCGCCACCCGCGCTGCTGCAAATGGCGCCGCAGAACCCGCTGCTGCCTGCGTCGGTACGATGCCAACGGACGGGCCGGTTGGGTTTTTGTCGAACGGAGGCAACAATACTCACTGGAAGGACGAGTGCCTTGGGGTGAATGCCACGGTGTCTGGAGAAGCAACGAAGGTTGATAACGGCTTTGAGCTGGCAGGGCGTGGCGCATCGATTGTGTGGCCGGTGGGCAGAGGACGGCGGAATCCCGGGCAGGGTTCTGTGGGCGAAGAGTTGACTCTTGTGGCGACGGTGACCATCAACAAAGCGCCACCGACCGCCACCCCACTGCTGGGCGTGGGGACAACGTTCACTGTGTTGTATCTGGGGCTGTGGTACGACGAGCAGAAGCACTGGAGGACGAAGCTCAGATCAGAAGCAGGAGCGGATGCACAAACGATGGCGTGGGAGGAGGGGAGGGCATACCGAGTGGTGCTCACGGTGGAAAACGGCACGGGCTCGGCGTACGTCGACGGGCAGTTTGTGGGGACTTTGGAGGGGAACCCTCCATTTACTGATGTGCTTCCTCCGCATCTGCCTCCCCCTGAGCGACCTCAGCGTGAGAGGCCGCCGGAGAGGGTCTCGCACATCCTCGTTGGGGAATACAGGTACGGCGAAGTAAACGCAGAGTTCCACGTGACGGTGAAGAACGTCTTGCTGTACAACCGCTGCTTCAACGCCAGTGAGGTTGCCGCGCTGGAGAGGAAAGAAGAGGATGCGTCGGCGCCGGGCCTAAACAACGCCTCCGCCGCACTTGCAAAGGAGGCTGCGGGCAGAGTGCAGAGGGAGGCTGGGGGCGGCGACGGTTCTGCGCGCGGGCGTGTGTCTGCGGTGCTCTCGCTGCTTCTGCTTGGGGTGTGGGGCCTCTCCGCGCTGTGCTGAGCGGCGGTGGCGTCGCTGGACCGCGGCAGGCAGAGGGAACGCGTGTGCGCCCCC